CAAGTAAACCAAATATATGTTCTTATTTTATCTTAAGTTAAAGTTTATTGAATTGTTAAATTACATATCATAAAACAATAAATTATAATACATCATGACATTATACATGTTTAAGAAGCCTTTTTTTGTAATTCAATTTAGCTTTCAAAAATGTAACATCCTTTTTATTTAAATAGTTATCTTAAATCATTGCCTTAATGATTGAAAAATTCTCCTTAAAGAATGAAAGTTCCATTTACTGAAAATTAGAGTGATTGGGAGATACAGAGAACTGTAGTGTTAGTAGTAACTAAAATATTGAAAATGAATTACAATTGTTATTAAGCTATGCTTAAAACCAAGGGAGAATGTTTTTATAGCTTTTATCTGAGGGTTTCAATTATTCTCCTGTTTTAAGATTCCATACTCTAATTGAGTTATCTACACTACCAGATGCTAATGTAGTACTATCAGAGGAGAAGCACAATGAAGAGCAACAATTATTATGGCCCTCTAGTTTAACTTTAAGCTGTCTATTCCTTACATCCCATAAATGGATAGAATTATCATAACTTCCAGAAGCTAATTGTGAACCATCAAGAGAGAAACATATTGAATAGATCCAATTGCTATGACCAATTAATTTTGCTTGTAATTATCCTGTCTTCCCATGCCATAAATTGATGGAATTATCACGGCTACCTGAGGCTATTCTGTTCCCATCAGGAGAAAAACATAATGACTAGATATAATTAGTGTGTCCAATTAATTTGGCTGTTTACCGGCTTTGAATAACATTCCATAAAAGGATTGAACCATCATAAATACCGTATGCTAATGTATTGCTATCTGGTGAGAAGCACAAGGCTTTATGACAATCTAAAGTGGCTCTTTACTGGCTTGTCTTAACATCCCACAAATAGAATGAGTAATCTTTACTACCAGATAATAATGTAGATCCATCAGGAGAAAAGCAAACTGAATAGACAGTACTAACATGACCATAAAATTTGGCTTTTTATTGTCTAATCTATACATCCCATAAAAATATCTACTTGTCATCACTACCAGATGCTAAAAGAGTACTATCTGGAGAGAAGCATAAAGATTAAACCTATTGACTATGGCCAACTAATTTTGCATTTTATATTCCTGTTTTAACATCCCATAACGAAATAGAGTTATCATAACTACCAGATGCTAACATTGCTTGATTAGGTGAAATGGTTACTTAATGACATCGTTCCCTACGTGCATCCAAATTTTGTTTCTCATATTCTGATTACACATTCCATAAACGGATGGTATTATCTGCACTACCGGATGCTAATATCATAGCGTCAGGTGAAAAGGATACTGAATATAATGTATTAGCATGACCAACTAGTTTAGCTTTTTCTAGTCCTGTTTTAATATCCCAAAATCGAATATAGTTATCTGCACTACCAGATGCTAATGTTGCACCATCAGTTGAAAAACATACTGAATAAACAGTGCTAGTATGACCATCTAATTTGGCTTTTTATTGTTTTGCCTAAACATCCCATAAACAAATAGACCTATCATCGCTACCAGATGCTAAAATAGTACCATCAGGAGAGAAAGAGAGTGTATAAATCCATCCACTATGACCTTCCAGTTTGGCTTTTTAGTATCTTGTCTTAACATCCCATAAACGAATAGATTTATCAAAACCACAAGATGCTAATGTGTCTCCATCAGGTGAAAACATAATTGACTAAATATAATTAGTATGACCCTCTAACTTGCCATATTATTATTTTGTGTTAAAGTCCCATAAGCATATGGAGTTATCTTGACTGCCGGATGCCAAAGTATAGCCAACAGGTGAGAAACATACTGATGAGACTGAGCTAGTATGACCATGTAATTAGCCTTTTTATTTTAATGCCTAAATATCCCATAAACAAATAGACTTATCATCACTTCCAGATGCTAAAATGGTACCATCAGGAGAGAAGCATACTGCTTAAACCCATTCACTATGGCCAACTAATCTGGCCTTTTATATTCCTGTTTTAACATCCCATAAACAAATTGAGCTATCTGCGCTTCCAGAGGCTAATGAGGTACCATCAGGAGAAAAGCATACTGATAGAACATAATTGTCATGACCATTTAAACTTTTGTTTTATTTTACTGTTTTAACATCCCATAAACATATATAGCTATCTCCACTTCCAGATGCTAACGTATCATCTGGTGAAAAACATAATGAATAGACAGTGGCAGCGTGACCTTATAATTTGGCTTTTTCTTGTCCTGTTTTAATATCCCATAATAGAATCGAGTTATCTGCACTACCAGATGCTAATGTTGCACCATCAGTTGAAAAACATACTGAATAAACAGTGCTAGTATGACCATCTAATTTGGCTTTTTATTGTTTTGTCTAAACATCCCATAAACAAATAGACCTATCATCGCTACCAGATGCTAAAATAGTACCATCAGGAGAGAAACAGAGCGATAGAACATAATTATTATGACTACCTAATTAGGCATTCTCTTGCTCTGCTTTAATGTCCCATAAACGAATAAAATTATCTTCATTACTAAATGCCATTGTATGATTATCAGGAGAGAAGCATACTGCTCTATGACCATTTAATTTGGCTTTTTATTGTCCTGTATTCACATCCCATGCGCGGATAGAGTTATCATCACTACCAGATGCTAATATATTACCATCAGGAGAGAAGCAGACAGAATAAACAATACTAGTATGACCATCTAATTTCGCCTTTTATTATCCTGTTTTAATATCCCATAAACGGATAGAAGTATCTGCACTACCAGATCCTAAAGTAAAACCGTCAAGAGAGAAGCAGATAGAATGAACAGTGCCAGTATGACCATCTAATTTGCCTTTTTATTATCCTGTCTTAACATTCCATAAACGTATAGAATGATCTGCACTGCCAGATCCTAAAGTACTACCATCTGGAGAGAAATATACAGACAAAACTTTATCATCATGTCCATCTATTTTGTATAATTCAAGTATTTTTAAGTCTCTCCATTTACAATTGAATAATAAGGCATTATTTAAATTTATTCCGCTAATATCGACATTATTAAATTCAGATCCACTTAAATTACATCCGAAAAAATTGCCTCCTGCTAATGAAGTATTTTTTATTTTAATATTTTCGAAGCACTGTTTACTTAAGTCAACCTTCATTTCAACTAATAAATTTAAAGAATTAGATCCACACTAAATGAATTCATTATCTATTGCAGTGAGGAGGACCAAAAATCTTAAAAATTGTATAATTTACACTTCTTTTTAAATACTTAAGATTAGATTTTTTCTATTTTCCTAATAATTCTCTGTCGAATAATCATTTTTATTAAAGTCAAGTTCTTTAATTATATAGATAACATTAGAAATAAATTTAATCTCATTTTTTATTTTTTTGTACTTCTGCTTATTAATAGATTATGACTATGCTCCATCAGTAATGTATTGTTCTAAATGCTTTTTATAACAATCTTTTGAAAGGAATTTAAGGCAATTTTAAATTTTCTCCTTTTTAAACATATCAATCAGTATTTTAAATAAGCATCCATCTACTTCTTTTGACAACAATAATACCTGATCCAAATCTTCATTATATTCATTCTTCTTTCTCATTATTTCAGATTGCTTGATACTATTTTCTATTAATCTTTTGATATCATTCTTAAATTTTTCTAGATTATAAATCTTTTTAATTATTTATATAAATTCATTTATTAAGCGTTCTTTACATTTCTAGAATAAATTCATTGATACTTAAAAAAATCCATCTGTTATACTATTTTCAAATGAGAATTCTTATTCAATTACTGATAAAACTTAAGAAAGATAATTTACATGAACATCCTAATTATCACAAAACTATTGAAGCTAGGATACTAACTTTAAAAAATAATCATCTGTATTAGTTTTCAGGATTTTTCTGATATCTTCGTCAAGTAATGAAAATTTTCTTATTTTTTTCATTATCTAATTAATTCTAATTTAATTAAAGGAAGTAATTGTTTGTAATTTTGGTTTAAGGTCATCATTAATTCTGTTTTCCCAATATTGCTTTCTCTTTGCAACATCCAAGGCCATTGCAAAATTATTCTCAACTTAATTTATTCTAATAATGAAACTTTTGTCATTTTAATATATGCCTGAGACTTGAAATTCAAATTAGGGGAATAATATTACTTCCTCTTCATTCGGAATTTCAGAGTTATAGTCTTCAAGTTTGAAGTATGGATGAGGATTTACTTGACTTAAGGAAATTTCAAATAATATTTTGAATTAAAATTACAAAAAATAACTTGTAGCACTTTATTTCATTGTAGTACTAGTTAAAGAGTTCCAAAATATACTCTTGTTATTTCTTTAACAATGTTTTAATTCTTCAATAATGTTTTCATAAACATCCTTTTGAGATAATGAGAAACTAATCCCTCTATACAATTTATTTGTAGATAAGCTCTAATTTTTTAAATTTGAATATCCATAAAAGATTGTGCACATGATTTATTCCAATTCTTCATATTTTTATTAGGCAAGTTTCTAATTCAAAATCTTATAGAATGAAATCGGCTAGTCATCTCTTGTGTAATAATAAATTAGTTTCTCAAAATTATTAAACTTCTCTTTAGTTTTTTCTATTTTTAAAGTTTCTTTTCTTTTCACAGACTATTAAAAAGTTGTTAACATCTCTTATGATAGAAGTTTCCCAATTTCTAAATTAAGTTATTCCTCTTTGTCCTCATAATTTTCTTACAATTTTTAGTTGATAAGTAAAAATTTGATACTTATTTCCTAGAACTAATGACTGTATTGCTCCTAATGGTTTACTTTCTAATGAAACTATAATATCAAAGATTATTAAGCTTTTAAGAATTCGATATTTTATTTTACATAATTTTCAACTTTTGAAATACCAGAATCAATAAGGACTAATAAATTTTTAGTTTCCAAAAATTTAGAAAAATGGACTTTAAAATTCCCACAAAAGACAATTTAATTATTGCTTAAAGCAAAATTAATAGTTTCTTCAATAATAGAGCCAGAAACAATTAGTATAATTTAATCCCCTCGCTGTTGTAGATTTTAAACAATTTTTAAAGCCTCATTAGTTGAATTAATGAAACTACACTCATTAATTATCTATTTTAATCGCTTCTAATAGATTTAGTTTTCATAATTATTAATGTTGCTGTCAACCCATACTAATTATAACTTTGATATCATTTTTTCTATTATCTTAATATTTTTCTGATAAATATTTTAATAGAAATATAAAAATTAGAATTAGATAAAGAAAAATTATTAGTAATTAAATTTTTACTATTTCTATTCTTAGATACTCAATAGTAATTACTAATTGACCTTTCATTACTTTTCTCCATTCATATTATTTTTCATTTTTTTTCTAACTCTTAATGAAAAATACAACCCCATACTCTTTTTGCTCAAACATAAGTGATAATTAAAATTTAGAACAATTAGATAAATGGAGAGATTGACAAATGCTAATTTTAAATATAAATCAAAATTTTTCTTATAATTTTTTTACAATATTAGCACTTTAACTATAAACAGGCTTTATGATAAACGGTCTGTCAGATGTTTACCCCATTGAAATATCATAAATAGAAAATAATTTTGATCTTTGCGTTAGAGATGCAGGACTTGGATTTTGGACTGTATATTTACCACTTATCAATTTATCCCACTCTCTTTCATCTTCATTTTTATGAGCTCCTTTTTTTCATATGTACTCAGAACCAGATTTATCCCATGCTTTTCTGGCTTAAGGCTCCCCGAGGAGTTATGTTATTAAAATGCGGTCATTCAAGATCCTCTCTTAATAAATATCCTGATAAACTGTTCCGCTGCATAATGCCATCTTATATCTCCTAATAGGGCGATGTTGAATGCCTGGAGCCCTATTGAGAGTTAGCTTCTAGTTCGCCTTAACTTTATCTTTTTCTCGAAGTTTGGAATTTAGATGATTTTTTATGTTTTAGTTAGCATGCTTACAATATATGGCATAATTTTATTAAACTAGATTAACTAATCATTTATTTAGAACTGTGAGAATCTTTGGTTTAATACTTTTGAAATTGGCTAAGGTGTTACCAAATATATACAAATTATCTAAACTTCATTTGTATTTTATATTTCCCAAATCTCCATTTAATTTAATTTAAAATTAGGAAATAAGAAGATGAACAGATATGCATCTCATATTAAAAGTTGAGGAAATTTAATTATTGTAAACAAACCCAAAATTTTAATTATTAAATTTTTGAGTTTTTTTAAGCTTTAAATTTTCTTCAACTACAAAAATTTTTAAGGATATTCTGGAAATTAGTAGTTGTAACTTCTAACTAATTAATAGGAAAAAGCATTAGCCGTCAAAAAGGAAGAAAATTAAAATGAATTATGATAAGCTAATTCTGTCATCTCTTATCTTTTAGTTCCACTTTTTTCTTGATTCATAGTTTTCTATTAACTTAATCATAAGCTATGTCTTCCTTCCATGCCAACCCAATATCAATTCGGATCTATTTTTCCAAATTTTATTCGAATCATCTTTCCTACTAGATTTGTTGTCTCTATTGCACTTTAAGATTTCCTATAAATTCCTCAAGTAAACCAAATGACTGGACATACCTTTAAGAATATTGAGGCTGATCCTCATCCTTTTGGGAATAAAATTATTGAGATGAGACGAAGAACTATCACCACTTTGATTAATAATTTGATATTAGTGAGTAAATTTTGATAATGCCAAAACTACAAGAAAATCAAAGAAAGAAAATGATACTATTAATTTGATACTAAAAGATTTATTAATATTGTTATTTTCAAAAAATAAAAATAGTGATTTACTCTGAATTATAATTATTATTTTAACTTGCATTATAGATGCAGTAAATGAACAATAGTTGGATATTTGGCTATGATCTTCTGTTCTTATTCATCCTGCCTTTCAGCACTAAGAAGTTACGTTAACCAGTCCTGGATTATTCTAGTTCTATAATAGTAATTAGAAAAAATGGAGGAATATTTTTTGAAATGTAAAAAAAATCAAGAGTCTTTTGATTGGTCCAAACCTCTAGGTATGTAAAGCCCATCGAGGTTAGAGCCTGGTTTTATTTTCAAATTGAAAAGCTAGTTTTTGTTATTATTTGATTAAAAAATAAATAAATCAAAGTTTATTCTTTTAAATAATTCAAACAATCATGATAAAACACATTAATAATAAGGATTTTAGTATTAAGATCGTTCCTTTCCAGCCTAAAATACGATAAATATACGCGCTTTATCATTTTACTTCAATTTTAATGTATTTTGAACCATCATCAATAAAGAATTATTATACAAGATGTAGTTCGAACCTTTAATCTTCTCTTAAGAAAAATGAAATGGGAAAATTCGGAGAGCATCAAAATCCTTAAGGGATTTCAGAATATCATTAAAAAACGAATGTTATACGATAAGATTTATCTTAGATTATAGCAATCTTTGATAGTTTTAGAATCTGATTTGCTATTTCGAATTCAGAATATAAAATACATCACTAATTTAAGTAAAGATAACTTGTAGATTATTAGCCTTAGTTCAAATAGTTTCATTTAATTTTCAATAAGTTTTCTACTTTATTTATTTATTATGAATTTTTTGCTTTACTCTTTTTGTTTCAATTAGAAGAAATTTACCAGACACTTAAAATTCCAGCTATAAGATCATTGTAATATGGGCTAACGATTAGCTTATTAATGCTGACTATTAAGTCAAGGAATTTGTAAATATGGAAAATCTCAATTGATCAAGTCCTCTATTATTTTTCTATGAATTGGAGCTTAATTAGACCAAAATTGCATATATTAAAATCTATCATCATTAAAGAAATAAATTTGACATATAAAAATCAGATGCTCAATTATAACTTCTTATAAATTAGTTAATAGTCGATGTTCAAAACAAATTAAAATATTAAATGACCACCCTTGGAATAATCTCACTTGATACTTTAGATGATTAGGAGTTAAGCAAGACTAAATAGATAATTATACCATAAAATGGTGACTAATAATCTAGTGGCTTCGAAGAATTAATATTGCAAATTTGAAATACAAGTTAAAACTTGCTATCATAAAAAGTGAACTAACAATTTGTAAGTTGAATTATGAGAATAAATGATATAAAATAAAAAGCTAACAAAATGTAGAGATTATTGTCAACAACTCGGAAGATTTATAAAAAATTCCGTTTAATTTTAAAGTTGTTTAGAGAGACTTGTAATAAGTTAAAACTTAACCTCGAGAAAAAAAAAATATTTTAGATATATATAAAAATGAAAATTTATAATTTCAATATAACTCATTAAAAAACTTTAATTAGCAATTATACAGGTTATCTACAGATTAAAAACTATTTCAATGCTAATTCTTTACAGTTGTGACAATAGATAAAATGATCACAAGGAGAGGCCACGTATTGCTTTGGAAATTCAAAACAAATCTAACATAAACTAGAATCATATAATTTAGTTTATTGTTTTTATTAATATTGGATATTTTCTTACTCCTTATCTTCAATTTTTAAATTATCAAATTATTTAACTATATCTAAAGGTTATTTAAAGACTTATGGTTATTTAGGTTGGTTGTATGATTTTTATTCCATTCTTTTTCATATATTTCTTATTCTACTGATCGTTTATTTTCGGACTTAGGTTCTTAAATATATTGTTTAAATTATTATTATTAATATATAACATACAAATATATAAAGCTTATGTATAAATGCTTACGGGGTTTTTTTCATATGGAGTCGAAAATTTTCAAAATAGATATGTATATATGATTTGTTTTCAAATTAGCAAGCAATACAGGTAGGTATATTAATTTGCTATGCTGTGTCTCATGAGATAATAGATAGAAGGAGAAAAGGTGGCAAAATAATAAAATGACAAATTTGATCCAGATTTAGAATTAAAATTATGCCAAGGCACTTTGGGTCACTTAGATAAAACCTCATGTGGAGCATTTTCATAATATAAATGTTAGCATTTATTTATGAAGGCTTGAATTAGAAGAAGTACTTAGAACAAAAGGAAAATGTATAGAGTGCAAAACAAGCTTAGAATAAAAGTTGTGATACAAAAAATCAAATTTTAAAAGAGGTAACTTTGATATTGACTTCAAGAGGGATGGAAATGTTATGTGTAAAAAATCCACAATAGAACCTACATCCTCTT